AAAAAGATGGAGAGGTAGGAAGAAGAGGTTCTTCTAGAAAAAGATGGAGGGGTAGGAAGAAGAGGTTTTTCTAGAAAAAAGATGGAGAGGTAGGAAGAAGAGGTTCTTCTAGAAAAAGATGGAAGGGTAGGAAGAAGTGGTTTTTCTAGAAAAAAGATGGAGAGGTAGGAAGAAGAGGTTCTTCTAGAAAAAGATGGAGGGGTAGGAAGAAGAGGTTCTTCTAGAAAAAGATGGAGGGGTAGGAAGAAGAGGTTTTTCTAGAAAAAAGATGGAGAGGTAGGAAGAATAGGTTATTCTAGAAAAAAAGATGAAGGAGTAGAAAGGAAACTATCTAATAGTGATAAGATGAAAGAAAGGGAAGGAAGGAAAGGTTTTTCTAGAAAGACAAGGAGGAGGAGGAGGGTAATGTTCTAGGGGTAAGGTTCTTAAAGGGAGAAGGATATCGTTTTTATAGAAAGGAGAAGGAGGTGGAGGAGGGTAATTTTCTCTTAGAAAGGAAATGAAAGGAAAGGAAAGAAAGGTTCTTTTAGAAATGAGATGAAAGGGATGGAATGAAAGGTTCTTGTAGAAAGGAGATGGAGGTGGAGGAGGGTAATATTCTCTTAGAAAGGAAATGAAAGGGAAGGAATGAAAGGTTCTTTTAGAAATGAGATGAAAGGGATGGAATGAAAGGTTCTTCTAGAAAGGAGATGGAGGTGGAGCCTGGAGGAGGGTAATGTTCTCCTTTAAATGAGATGAAAGGGAAGGAATAGAAGACTTTTTTAGAAAGGAAGGAGGAGAATAGAAAGGATCTTTTATGAAGAAAGGAAAATATGAGGAGAGGGGGGGGGGGGAGGATTTGCTATATAGGGAAGAAACGTGATTAAGTATGGTACTTGAGGATAAATGCTCTATATTGCTACTGTATCTTCTGTATCTACTGTATACTATTATGTAAATATATTTATAATGTACAAAAACTATATGAATGTAGATCATTAAGATATGAATATTCATATACATTGTACAAGCGAAGATGAAGAGAGTAAAGATGCATTACCGAGAAACCAGGTTAACAACCCTAAACCTAGAACACAAATGTGCGATCAGATAAACAATCATGGTATTTAAGGATGAATTTTCCTCATATCATTCCCAGAAACTCTTGTAATTGTTGATAGCTTTGAATGCAGTTGTTTCATATTTAAAGAATATAAATTTTTCGCTTCCAGGAGTCACAGAACATAAGTAATTACAGTCCAATTCTTGAAAAACATGAGGATATATAGGGATTATTATAGTTCTAATTTGATTTAGTTAAACTAGGGTTTAGCCAGTTTCGAATTAGACCAAGTTGGGTTTTTATAATTCATGTCTAGAAACGGGATGAGTTTTCAGTTCTGTTTTGTATTAAGTTATTTCTGTAATTTCTGTTTTAAAAGAGGATTAGAAATAAGCTTCCGTTAATTAACTTCTGTTTTGTATTAGGTTATTTCCGTAATTTCTGTTTCAAAAGAGGATTAAATATAAGCTTTCGTTAATTTACTTCTGTTTTGTATTAGGTTATTTCTGTAATTTCTGTTTCAAAAGAGGATTAGATATAAGCTTCCGTTAATTTATTTCTGTTTTGAAACTGATGAAATCAATAAGTCCCACGTCTATTCTCCTATAGTTATCTGTACGGGAAGGATTATCTTAAAATAGACTAAACATCATTTTGACTTTTCATTTTTAGGGGTTTAGTGGCAGTATCAGACATCTGGCATCTTTATCCACCTAGAATCGTTGATCTATACTATCTAACCCACCCTTCCGCCTCTTACTCCCCCCCTCTCTTCTAGGGGTGTGTACGGGGGGGGATACGTGAACAAAGCCCCCCTCCTGAAAGAGAGAAAAGTATGTTTTTAGAGGAAAATGGGACTGAATCATCTATGAAAGTTAGAAAAGGTTCTGGACAAATTCCTGTATACGTTCATGCCCCTCCCCCCCTTGAAAATTAAAAACCACTAAAAACAGTCTTTGGCACAAACGCAGGTTTTCTAACCCCAATATCTTTACACCCCAATGTCGCAAACTTTAGATATTTCTAACCATGAATTCTGTTAGATTAAATACTTTTAGTTAGAAATATCAAAGGTTCACTCAATCAAGTTCTAAAGATATAGGAGTTAGAAAATTTGTTTG